TCCCCGGGGGCTGTCCCAGTCTTCCCAGTGTGTCCAGTATCTCCAGTGCTCCCTGCATCCCCGGGGGCTGTCCCAGTCTTCCCAGTGTGTCCAGTATCTCCAGTGCTCCCTGCATCCCTGGGGGCTGTCCCAGTCTTCCCAGTGTGTCCACTAGCCCCAGAGCTTCCTGCGTCCCCGGGGACTTGGGTGCCCCCGGTGTCCCCAGTACGCCCAGCATCCCCAGTGCTGATCACATCCCCGGTGGTCCCGGTGTCCTCGGGGACTTTCCCAGTGTCCCCAGTGTGTCCAGTATCCCAGGTGTTCCTGGTGTCCCGGGGGACCTGGGTGTCCCCAGTGCGCCCAGTATCCACGATGCCGCCAGCATCCCCGGTGCTTCCAGCGTCCCCGGTGCTTCCAGTGTCCCCAGTACTTCCAGCATCCCCGGTGCTTCCAGCGTCCCCGGTGCTTCCAGTGTCCCCGGTACTTCCAGCATCCCCGGTGCTTCCAGTACTCCCAGTGCTTCCAGTGTCCCCAGTGCTCCCGGTGCCTCCCTGGCCTTGGGCACCGCTGCTGCTCCCACCGCCGCCGGTGTCCCCGCTGTGGCCGACGTGCGGTAAACTGGGATGGACTGGGGGCACTGGAGACGAGGACTGGGGTCACTGGGACAAACTGGGAAGGACTGGGGGGCACTGGAGACGAGGACTGGGGTCACTGGGACAAACTGGGATGGACTGGGGGCACTGGAGACGAGGACTGGGGTCACTGGGACAAACTGGGAAGGACTGGGGGGCACTGGAGACGAGGACTGGGGTCACTGGGACAAACTGGGATGGACTGGGGGCACTGGAGACGAGGACTGGGGTCACTGGGACAAACTGGGAAGGACTGGGGGGCACTGGAGACGAGGACTGGGGTCACTGGGACAAACTGGGATGGACTGGGGGCACTGGAGACGAGGACTGGGGTCACTGGGACAAACTGGGAAGGACTGGGGGGCACTGGAGACGAGGACTGGGGTCACTGGGACAAACTGGGATGGACTGGGGGCACTGGAGACGAGGACTGGGGTCACTGGGACAAACTGGGAAGGACTGGGGGGCACTGGAGACGAGGACTGGGGTCACTGGGACAAACTGGGATGGACTGGGGGCACTGGAGACGAGGACTGGGGTCACTGGGACAAACTGGGAAGGACTGGGGGGCACTGGAGACGAGGACTGGGGTCACTGGGACAAACTGGGATGGACTGGGGGCACTGGAGACGAGGACTGGGGTCACTGGGACAAACTGGGAAGGACTGGGGGGCACTGGAGACGAGGACTGGGGTCACTGGGACAAACTGGGATGGACTGGGGGCACTGGAGACGAGGACTGGGGTCACTGGGACAAACTGGGAAGGACTGGGGGGCACTGGAGACGAGGACTGGGGTCACTGGGACAAACTGGGATGGACTGGGGGCACTGGAGACGAGGACTGGGGTCACTGGGACAAACTGGGAAGGACTGGGGGGCACTGGAGACGAGGACTGGGGTCACTGGGACAAACTGGGATGGACTGGGGGCACTGGAGACGAGGACTGGGGTCACTGGGACAAACTGGGAAGGACTGGGGGGCACTGGAGACGAGGACTGGGGTCACTGGGACAAACTGGGATGGACTGGGGGCACTGGAGACGAGGACTGGGGTCACTGGGACAAACTGGGAAGGACTGGGGGGCACTGGAGACGAGGACTGGGGTCACTGGGACAAACTGGGATGGACTGGGGGCACTGGAGACGAGGACTGGGGTCACTGGGACAAACTGGGAAGGACTGGGGGGCACTGGAGACGAGGACTGGGGTCACTGGGACAAACTGGGATGGACTGGGGGCACTGGAGACGAGGACTGGGGTCACTGGGACAAACTGGGAAGGACTGGGGGGCACTGGAGACGAGGACTGGGGTCACTGGGACAAACTGGGATGGACTGGGGGCACTGGAGACGAGGACTGGGGTCACTGGGACAAACTGGGAAGGACTGGGGGGCACTGGAGACGAGGACTGGGGTCACTGGGACAAACTGGGATGGACTGGGGGCACTGGAGACGAGGACTGGGGTCACTGGGACAAACTGGGAAGGACTGGGGGGCACTGGAGACGAGGACTGGGGTCACTGGGACAAACTGGGATGGACTGGGGGCACTGGAGACGAGGACTGGGGTCACTGGGACAAACTGGGAAGGACTGGGGGGCACTGGAGACGAGGACTGGGGTCACTGGGACAAACTGGGATGGACTGGGGGCACTGGAGACGAGGACTGGGGTCACTGGGACAAACTGGGAAGGACTGGGGGGCACTGGAGACGAGGACTGGGGTCACTGGGACAAACTGGGATGGACTGGGGGCACTGGAGACGAGGACTGGGGTCACTGGGACAAACTGGGAAGGACTGGGGGGCACTGGAGACGAGGACTGGGGTCACTGGGACAAACTGGGATGGACTGGGGGCACTGGAGACGAGGACTGGGGTCACTGGGACAAACTGGGAAGGACTGGGGGGCACTGGAGACGAGGACTGGGGTCACTGGGACAAACTGGGAAGGACTGGGGGGCACTGGAGACGAGGACTGGGGTCACTGGGACAAACTGGGATGGACTGGGGGCCCTGGAGACAAGGAGAACTGGGGACACTGGGACAAACTGCGAAAGAGTGGGGGCACTGGAGGCACAGAAGGCTGGGGATACTGGGGGACACGGAAACAAACTGGGATGGACTGGGGAGCACTGGAGACGAGGACTGGGGTCACTGGGACAAACTGGGGAGGGCTGAGGGCACTGGAGGCACAGAGGAATGGGGGTACTGGTGGGCACTGGGAGCACTGGAGGCACAGAGGAATGGGGGTACTGGTGGGCACTCAGGCAAACTGGGATGGACTGGGTGGCACTGGAGGCAAGGGGGCCTGGGGACACTAGTGGGCACTGGGATGGACTGGGCGGCACTGGAAGCACTGGAGGCACGGAGGAATGCGGGTACTGGGGGGCACTGGGGCAAACTGGGATGGACTAGGGAGCACTGGAGGCATGGTGGCTGGGGGACACTGGGACAGACTGGTGGGCACTGGGAGCACTGGAGGCATGGAGGAATGGGCATACTGGGGGGCACTGGGGCAAACTGGGGTGGACTGGGGGGCACTGGAGGGATGGAGGCCTGGGGACACTGGTGGGCACTGGGATGGACTGGGGGGCACTGGTGGGATGGAGTCCTGGGGACAGTGGTGGGCAACTGGGATGGACTGGTGGGCACTGGGGC